GACCATTGGTATACCCTAGAATACTTGCTCAATTCTTTGATTGAAGGATGGTTGACGCGGAGGATACCCAAAAAGGTAAACGAGTGAGTCTATATAAACCATTGTGAGTATTTATGGTTACATACTCCCTACAATCCTCATCTAAAATAATTTGCTGGTGAGCCCTAGATAGATCTAGCTCGCTGAATTTTTCTCCCCACTTAATTCAACAAATAACTCTTCGGGTTTTGGCAACAGGTGTTGGTCAACCTCCAAAACGGAATAGACGGTGACTTTATCATCCCCACAAACTCTAATCGAATTATCCGGTTTAACGAAAGGAACTATCGGTACCGCCCATTCTGAGTAGCGCACCTTCTCGACTACTCCCAAGTCTACTAAGCGATCTAATTCTTCTTCAAGGCTCCTTTTAAAGCATTTGGAACTTGGCTCGGTTAGAAAAACTTCAGTTTGATTTGGGCTTGACGAATAATTTACCTTAAACGCCTTGCATAGTGCCCAACTCGTCCATAAATACAGATCGATGTTTAGATAACACGCCATCTAAATCACAACTTATCTTCTAAATGGAAACCCAATTTAACTTAATGGTCTCTGGCAAGTTCCTTCCAGTTAGGCTTAGTCCGTTCCCTTTGAGAATCTGAGGCGGTAACTTGGTAGTCTGATCTTGATAGGTTAGTTCAACCAGTGCTTGTCCAATAATTTCGGGGGCTTCTCCTGTGTAAGTCTTCAACTTAATTTGGAACTCCTATAATGGAATTTTAGGGAACTGCCTACTCCACGCCTCCTCGGGCATGATTGAAATTGACGTACCGGTGTCCAACTCCATCGAAAATTTTTCACCATTCAACTTTACAGGAAGCATGATGGATGATTCTGGCTTTTCATGATAAATGTGAAACAGTCTGAAGTCGTCATTTGGCTCTTTTGGAAGGGTTTCATCTTCCACGTACCGAAGTGGTTTTCTTCTCCCACCTTGATTCGGACGTGATCCACCGACGTAACTACCTGAGAATGCCAGTGCTTTCTTCCAACAAACTTTGGCGATATGCCCCTTTTGTTTACAATTCCGACATAATTCTTCTTGAAAAAACGGCATTTTTGCGGGTTGTGGTCGTCGCCAACTATGTATGGACTTTGAATTTCACAAGTGATGTTGTGATGAAGCAAAAGCATGAAATCTTCGTACAAACAATCAACACCCCGAAGGCACGACAAGAGAATCGTTAAAGAGGATAATATTCACACCCTCTTCCGAATTCTCGAATAAGACATTGTGAATGTTATTCCCTTGTGAAAATCAAGGTTGTCCCAAAAATGCTCAAGAAATTTTTAATCAAGTTTGATTTCAAGGTTGACTTGAAATCAAGGTTAAATTTCATGAGTTGCCTTAAAAATCAAGTTTGTTTTCAAAGTGCGTCAGAATCCCCTAACTGTTAGGAAGCTTTGGGAAGTGTTTTTTTCTCACGGAATTCCGACTTGCACTGTTCTTATTGGCACCTAGTTCGCGGGTAGGGAGAGCAAATGACAGACGCGCTTGATCACTTCTCTATCACTATCAATTAGAAAATGAGGAGGTCTTCGTTTCCGGGTCTTATTTTTGAGGTCTTCGTTATCTGGTCTTTGGTTTAGGGTGTTCGTTTTCGCTACAAGCCGGAACTGTGTTGATAAATTGAATTCATGATTCAACTTTCTTACAAATCGAAGTACATGTAAATTTATTTGAAATTATATAGATATTCCAGCCCGTGATTAGAAAAGTAACATGCGATTGGCCGTGTAGATCGCTGATTTAATCTCAAAAGTAAAAACAATCACAGTTCCTGGTATATACAATGAATTCTGTCACTTTTTTTTAAACCATATTTTAAGGAAGCGGTGTAGGCACGATGTAGTGGCGTGGGCACGATGTGTGTCGTTTTTGTTTTTTTTTAGCTTGAAAATAATAACAAGTTCGAACTGTGTTCTTCTTACATAGGTCAGTACCTTTATGAGTTCAAGTCTTACTGAGTGTCGTGTTTCGCATTCCCATTTTAGTAACAAATGCCTACCGCTGACACAAACATGCCCTTGTCCTGGGCAACCCGCGAGTATTTTACTATCATCCGTGCCCTTGGGATGGGAAATTTGAACCTTCCCTGGTTAAGGTGAGGAATTTTAACCCGAAATTTCAAGTTTTTCCGGCGGAACATACGAAACATAGTTTCATCTTAAAATGTGGAGGGGTAAATACTTCCTATTTTGCGAGAGAATGTTCAGAAGTAAAGGTCTAGAGATTTAGAGCTTGGTAATTGAGTGGAAGATCACAGTCACTGAGTTTTCTTTTTTCCAAAAAATTAACTTGGGTGGGGCCCCGGAGGGAAAGGAAAAAGGAATTTGGAGGAAGTAATTTTCAAGGGTTTAAATACTCCATACGGGGGAGAGTCATCTAAGCGCCTATTCTAGCCTACAGAAATTGAACTCCCACAGCATGAAAAAAGAGATTTACGGAAAATTAAAGTAAAAAGTATGCTCGTAAAGGCGCGTGTAGGTAGATCTATGTCATCAGATGTAAAGCTTTCGTAAAGGTAACTAAAAGCTGAAGAGCCAGATTTACATTCAATGTAAAGTTTGCGTAGAGTTAAACATTACTAGACCGAAATTAGAGTTGTTGTAAAGCTGACATAAATATGTCTAGACACATTTATGCTTGTTAACAATTTACCTAAAGGTTGTAGTGAGCCATACATTTCGCAAAACATGTAAAGCTTTCGTTAAACTAGCGCAAATGGCGTATTTCTTTTTAACAAGGGATGTCTCACAGCTCGTCGCAATCAATAAGTTTTTACGTGTTATCTGACCTTCTCAATAATAATCACACTGTTTCCAAACCTGGGTTGGTTTACCAAAATGTCCTTGGCCACAATCAGTTTTGTACCACCACACAACTGCGTGTGCATGCTGACGGAATTCTCCATTGACTTCTACACTGTGCACTATTTAGAAGTCGACTATTCCTGGTCTTCTAGGAGCGGAGGTATCAATAGAACCATCATCAGCGTTCCAAGGGGCTATAATTCTTGCTGATCTCAAGTTATGGCGGTCCAACTTTGATCCAAACTTTTCAGTGCCAAGCAGGACATTTGAAGAAGAAGGTTCAATTTCTTCCCTAGGGTACAATGTCTTGTAACAGTCAAAAAGTTCCCTCAGCTCATCTGGATCCAATACAAAATGCTTGAGGTCACTCCACTGAAAGTCCCCCAAATTCAAGAAATAGGCACTGTTAAATAGTTTGGTGGCATTTTCTACCACCAAGCTCTCAGATAAATCATGACTTTCATTTTGGGCAAAAAATGTCAAAAAATGTTCTTAGAACTCATTTGGAAATTTTACATTTCAAACAAACCGTCCAGCCATAAGTTTGTGCATTAGTTGTATCTCCACAGACCTTCCATTCACTTGCATTGTACCAAGAATTCCATTGAAACGTTCAAAGCTGAAACACCAAAATGCATGCACTGGTCCACAATCAATGACACATTCCTTTAAGTGGCAGTGAAGATGCATATTTGATGTCACAGCTTTTTTGCCATACAGCTTTTCAAATCTTACGCCGAACTTGACAAATAGCAGATGAGCTTTTTTAATGTCTGTCTTAGACAGAACTGAAGTACAAAGATACTGGCAAGCAAGAAAAAACGTCTGCCACATCTTAAATGAGTTTATGGTAAAAGATCTTTCAGACAAAACATGGAATAAATCAATGTCCAGTTCTTCAACTGAGATGTTGTGTAGCCACCATAATTTGATGCTATTCTGTGCGGCAATCGTTCAATTTCAGTTCCAACATCAAAAGAATTAATCCCATCTTCTAAGACTTTAAGGTCTTTCTTTGATAATAAATTTTTCTTAATCCACAGTTTGAGAACATACTTTGCAGTTCCCAAAAACAAATTATGCATGAGATGAATTGATCAATTTCAGTAAACCTTACTGGATTAAAGTATTCGAGTTGCAACAGAGAACTGTAATGGACCCCATACTTTGTTGCTAATGCCTCATGCTTACTTTGGGTTGAAGCCTTCCGTACCATTTCCGCATGAATTCGATGACTGCTATTATGGCGTGGTGGCCACATGTCTCTGTCAAAGCCAGAGTAGTCTATATTCTCTCCGAAGCTCCCTGGGAAATACTTAAAACACTTTGAACAGCCCCGGTGTACAGAATGACCTTTAAACCCGCAGAGTTTTCGCACAGCAGGAAGATCAGCTGAAGCGAGAAGAAGGGCACCCCGGTATATTAGTGGTATCCTACACTGACTGGTTTTAAGTTTTACACTAATCCAAAATGCCTTGAGCTCATCAACAATTGGCGCAAAAAATGTATTCAGTGACTTAGGCTCTTTGCTCATTTCTGGTACAATTCCTGCCACAAGAATGTTCTCCCATTTGAACCGCTGTTCTCTTGGAAGATTTAATAGAACTAAGCAAATGACGACCACAGATCTGTCATTTCGCCTCTTAAATGGTTGAAACCAGTCCACATTGGTTGTAAATGCATGGTTTCTGGGTGCATTCAGAAAGTCATTTCCTTTGAACTTTAGAAAGTCTCTCCAGATGCTGCCATCATAAACATCTGCCACAATGCTCTCATCTACTTGATGTTCACGCCACGTTTCACACATTTCAGAAACTCCAGGCCTTTTTTTTACGTAATCCTTCAACTTGATCAATCACACTGTTAAAACAGTAAATTATGTGTGGATAAAAGCACACTTTACCTGAGGTCACTTTTCTCGCCAATGCTGTTCCACACTCCCTGACATAGCCTTTGTTGAAAGGTTTGTGGCTACAGATATCTGAAACAATCTGACTTCCAACTAGCCTTTTACAGTTCTCCAACTGGTAAAGTGATACACATTTTGGGCAGACTGCAAACTTGACGAAATTATCACGCTCTAAGTTAACAAACTTTCGAAGTAGGTACAGTGAACTTGGAAGCATAAGGGCCAGTTGGGAAAACTATTCACTAATGCAATTGATCCCCATCACATGCAAAAACTGGAACATAAAATGTAACAACCGCTCAAGGCCATTATCACTTATCTTGCAAGTTGCTTGCCAAAACAACAAAAAGTAAATAAACCATTGAAATAATGTTATCAGTGTCTGTGTAGATGATGCGTCGGATTGGTTCTGGCAGAGGTTCATCATTTGCCACATCTTCAAAGAGATCATCCACATCCTCATGCCATACTTCAGGATCTTCATCATCACTACAATCGCTACCACTACAATTTCTGTCACTTTCACTTTCAGATCCATCAGTGTGAGAAGAATTGGACTCCATAAAAAAACAAGAAAGAAATTTTCATTCATGGTTGTAATGTTAATGTGTCTCTGTACCTGAGTAGAAGAAACTTATGTACAATTCATGTACCATACATAAAAAGGATCCTTAATGTAAGAGGTATTATCCTGTATGAAACTTTTAACAATATCAAACCTCTAACTTGATAAGTTTACACCTCCAACACAAAGTGACAGAAAAATATCATAATGCTTCCAAAACACATCACTTAATAAAAGGAAATTTAACAAATTAAGTTGTTTGTCAGGTTAATTTGTTTTCGATAATTTTAAATTAATTGTTTTTCGCATGATTACATTAATAAAATAAACCAAATAACATAGAGTACGTTGAAAACATATTAACCTGGAAACAATTTTAGCTGAAACATGTACCTGTCGCTAGCACATAAAGATACATATAGAACCTACCTCGTCAGATGTATTTCCTTCGAAATCACCTCTGACTGCACTAAAAAACTCTCTGTCGTCACCCAAAATATCCTCAAAATCATTATCTTAGGAACCTTTCCAAGCAAAAGTGTATCGAGTCACAAAGAGTTTAAAAGTATATGTGTTTATCATGTGATAAAAATTGCACTTGTGTGCTGATATGCAGATTGGCTTTTGCAAACAATTCCTTGAAAGGTATCAGAATATGTCTAAATGATAGTCTTTTCAGACTAAGTTATCCCAGGCAGGTACAGAACAAAAATATATTATTTTTTGGTACCTCTTAAAAGTATATTTATCACTGCTGCCAGTTTTATATGGAGAATTATTATGCCCCCCTAACCAAACAGAATTATGCTCTATCTCTATCAATGAAAATTAGCCAATGAGAACGTGAAGATGCCTGCAGTGAAAATCTTACTGGGCCAATACAGTTTGAGAGTCATTCACCCAAATGATGAGTGCTGTCAGAATTTAGTTTTCAACAATTAGGTATTGGAAAGCCGCACTCCCTTTTTTACCTGTTAAAGTTCAGTATTTTTTTCTAGTGTAAAACTATAAATCATATTAAGAGCCCCTTAGTTTCTGTTTGGCTTTCTAGAAAGGGGCCAGGAAAAGAGGCAGGGGGGAGGAGAATACGCAACAGAAAGCAGATACACGTAGGAAGCAATTTATAATGGCAATTTACAGGAGTGAATTTTGAATAGGTAAACACATGATTTCTAGTGCAATTTGGAATAAATAAGCACGAGAAATTTTTTCTAAGACTAACAAAATTACACAAGCCCGTGAGGTGAGTGCAAGTTGTGGTCTTTGTAATAAAAAAATGAAGTGCTCATTTATTCCAAATTGCACAAGAAAAATCATGTGATAACGTATTAATAATATTCACGAAAAAATACGAGATAGCTTATCATAATTATGCAGAAGCAAAGCACGCTCATCAAGTACAACATAGTTTATTCACACCTTGTAAGTGATATTGTGCGTTCGGTCAAAATAACCGCGTACGATCAAAACCATAATATACACTGATATTTTCACATCTTTAAGGCGCAAAAAAGTTCAAAGTCCGGCTAAACAGTTCAAGGAATTGTTCAGTCAGGTTTGTTTCTTCTTGGCACTAAATTAACTCTCTTCTGCATTGATCTTCCTGAAAACTGCATCCATCTTAACCAATCATAACTGATTAATTTCTTCATGTATCTTCTAAGGTCTGAAATCATACGTGTGATTTCACGTCGAACGAGCGCACAATCACAAATGGTCATTTATCTACCGCACAGAGAATTGATGGTACGGCACTGCTTCCTCAGATGCTTAGGACATTATTTCGTGTTACCTATTGATCAAATTACTGTATGACATACCTTGAGCAGATTTAACTGCCTCAAGATCCTCATCGCCAGAAGAACCCGATGCCCAAATTTCTCCGCGCGACTCAAGATCCTGACATGGCTTTGGTCTCTTTGCCCTGTGTTCCAAATGCTCGACTTCAGTTTTAGTTATTCAGCGTTCCCTATGCACATCGTAATGAACCTTGCGATGTTTCCAGAAAGCTACCCTAGATAAATATTCATCGTAGTGTTAACACAACAGTCTACTTTGTTTTCGCAAGCGGTCTAATTGTTGTTTAAAAGCCTACAGGGTTGCCGCTACCGCCATCTAGATTTCTTTGGGTACGCTTTGTCGGTGATTTCTGACGGCGTTCCCCGTCCTTTTCCTCGTGAATGTTGTAGGTGGCTGTGTCGCTTTGAAAAGGTTGAATTTCTTGCAGTGACCTCATTCCTGACCTCTTCTATCAGCAAAATGGACGACCATTATGTTGTTTTGCTTGAAAAGATTATTGCAGAAAATATACGCTTGAGAGAAGTGATCGAAATGCGAGATAGCGAGCAGCGAAAGATGATACAGGAATTGACATCTAAAATGGCGCGTAGCTCTAATTCAGGACCTGAAAGAGCGAACAGAAAAAAAACACGGAAGATCCCAATCCCGCAACAATGCCGGGTAAGTGTATTCAAGATGTTTTCAATGGCTTGTTGACAGCATACGAAAGAGCAATGCATGCAAGTGACTTCATTTCTGTCATTTTGAAACAAACGGTATTTGTACCTGAATCAAGATAATATTTGCTTTGCTCCTCAAACATTTTTGTATATTATATTGTTTTTCCGCAATCAGTCGTTTTACGTTTCTGAGGTGTAGGGAACTTGCCAGAAACATTTAATCATCGTTGAAATTGAAACATCGTGTGGAGTTGTGAACACTGTAAACAGGGGAAAACTGCAGAGCTCTGGTAATAACTCTTTGTTTTCTGAGGAAAGGTGAGAAGTGAAGTAGTGTGGTAGCCTCATTTTTATCTAATTTATTACAACAAGACTTCCGAACGATGTACAAATCACTAAAAAGGAATGAAGCTTTTGAAAGCTTCAATTTGGATGAGAGGTAAAGTCACAGCCATAATATTGTATTTATCCATGCATAGTGCATATCTGACATAACTAAAATCAATGTCATGTCAGTGTCAATTTTGTAAAAGCTTGTACAAAGAAAAAAGCCAACTAGAACTCTAACTTTATTGTTAAAGCACCTGCAGTATGTAATTGTAGGGTCTTAGATAGGCAGAACTCCCGTTTGGTACCCAGAGTCTTCTTTTAGTCCCACAAGGGTTACATTGTTTAAAAAATGGTTTCCACTGAGCTTGTCATATTCAATATTTTCTCTTTTTCATTGGGTTTATTAAATTGGATTTTTCTGTCAGCTGATGCTAATCAGGAAGCCACCGAGAGGGTAATTGAGGGTAGTCAAATCGATTGCTTAGTGTAGTGAACAAAATAGGCACATTATGTCACCCACTTTACAGCAAGTTTAGATTATAATCACCGTATCTTTCCTTTTTTGCTGGAGGATATCCAAGATATTTCCATCTCAATACTGCCCACTTGCCGCTAATAAAAAATGAGTTTAATTGTTGTTGGCTGAAAATTGGTACAGGCCTATACTGGGCATCATACTGAAGATTACACTAAGTTACACTGAAACAAAAAATTTATACATACAGTATATATGACATTAAATGTATTTTCAAGTTTAGTGCCACATATCGTCAGAATGATTCGAGTGAAATTGAAGTGGAATTGAGGAAAGTGGAGGGGGAGAAATGGCAAGTGGCGAGAAGCAAAGAGAAGAAAAACAAAGAGAGCAAGGGAGAGGAAAGTCAAAGTAGCTTTTCAGATAAAGAGGACACTGACAAGGTGATGGAGGTGGAGCACAGAAAAGAGGAGAAAAGCAAAGAGAAGAATACGAAAGGGAGAGAGGACGAAATTCAAAGTTCGTCATTAAATGCAGCAGACATCGATGACAATGTGGAGGAAGAAAAAGGAGAAGAGGCGAAAGGCAAAGACAACAAAGGAAAGAAAGAAAGAAGTAAAACAAGTGGAAGTTCATCACCATCTGACTCAGAAGACAAAAGGTCAGCAACAAGACACAACAAAGGGAATAAAACAAAGACTGCTTAGGTAACCACCAATAATTCCAAAGTACGAACGTGCCCCTTGTGCAAGGTATAAGTTACTCATCTCAGAAGACATGTGGTGGTGATTTAATTCCATTTTAATCCCATCCGATCTAAAATAAACTTCATATTCTTGTGAAAAATAAAGGATGACAAGTAAAGGCTGGCCAGTATCACAGCTCGAGTCCATACTACAGGCCGCCATTCATGGAAAGAGGAGAAACGACAGAAAAATGACGAAAAAAATAATATAAAGGAAAAAGGCGGCTGGGAAATAAAGGCCGCCATTCATGGAAAGGCAGAGTCCGGGGGAAAAAAGTGTTTCAAAGCACTGTGCGACAAGGCCGTTTTGGCAATGACAACGCATCTTCAGCGCAATCACAAACTAAAGAAGGATGATTCCATTTATAAAAATGCAATGAAAATGCGCAGGCTATACGAGGGCAAAACGGAGGAAATAAAGAGCTGCAAAAGGAAAGCAGAAAATCAGCCAATGGCTAGTCAAAGTAAGAAACGAAGTTTGACCCCACTGGGTACGCTCGTACAAGCGGACTTCCCCGAGCTTCTTGACAATGACAGTGATGAGGAAGAAACAGATTTTGAAATATCGAGTGATGATGACTGCCACATCTCGTTAGAGTCATCTGAATCCAACAATGTTATTCCACCTACTCCAGACAGGCAGAACGGGACGAAAACCGTACTACTTAAAAGGAGAAGCATTGAAGAAGAGAATCTCAACGATGAGAGAGAAAAGATAGAAGAGAAAGACAAGGAAGAAAGCAAGGATGATGAAGATGAAGATTCACATAATGAGGACGAGGATGAAGATTTACAGAGCAATGATGAAGATGAGGATTTAGATGAGGATACTGGGGATGAAGAGTGGGAAGAGTTGGTTGTGAGAGAATTTTACAAAGGAAGACCCAAAGGTTTCAGGCACCAACTTCTTAAGTATTTTTACGAACATCTGCAAGACTTTGGTGGTGGAGCAAACAAAGAAAGGCAGGCCTGCATCCACACCCAAAATGTGCGCAAGCTTCTAGATCAGCTCGATCCAAAGAACGACACCATCAGTTGTATCATTGCAGATGGTGGCATGCGCATGTGGCGGGACTGGGGCCAACCAATCTTGGAACAGAACAAGATGAAACCTGGCACTGTTAAGGCTTATTTGTCCTCAGCGGGAAAATTCTTGAAGTTCATTATCAATAAAGTAGCAGACGAGACGAGAGATTTTCCGAGCATTGACGAGCGGTCTTTGCGATTGGCCAATAATGTTCTTAATCGCCTTCCTGACAGGAGAACAGCAATTTCCAGAAAGTTCAGTCACAAGAAATGGGAGAAAGTGCTAGAAGTATCCAGAAGGTTGCCACCAGCATCTACTATTAATGACTTGATGTCAACCGATCCAGCCAAAGAGGCCATAACAATTCTGAACAAGAGCAGCACTGGGCACCTCGTTAGTTCTCGGGAATTTATAAGCGTGCGCGATTTTCTCATTGTTCGATTTGAACTAGAAAATGCGCAACAGCCAGTTCCCTTGGAAACAGCCACAGTATCCAACTTCAGAGAGGCTGAGCAGGGTGATGACGGCAGCTACACCATATACTATCCTAAGCACAAGCGATCCATCGACGGCCCAGCTAGGATTTGCATGGATGCAGGAACTCATGCCAATGTGTGCACGTACATTGACTATGTGCGAGGCGTCTGTGCCAAAGATAACGAGGAAGCCCTGTTTGTGACGTTGGAGGGAAAAGCCTTTGATCATAGCAACATCGGAAAGAGGATAACCGCCTTTTGGTTTAAGGCGAAGAAGAAGTGGGAAGAAACACTCGACTACGTCTCGTGTTTCTCCCTACACTTCTTTCGTGCTCTAGCCGCTTCCTAAGTGCTTTATAACAGAACAGAGCACAGTCAAGGCTTCTCTATTTGCTAACTAGTGTACGGTCGTAAGGTGGCTGAACACAGTTTGAAAAATGGCAAATGCGGTGCAGGTATCAGAAACTATGTTCAGCCACAGTTTCTGATACCTGGTGGGATTTGAATTTTCACAATTTGTGAGAGATACAGCTGCTTCACACAAGAATAAACTTGACTATCTCAATCTGTCTATCTCAAACCATATTCCGTTTTGTGTGTAGCGCCACTGCCAGAGTATATTACGTTTGTATTTAAGGCTTAATTTTGATATCAATGCCAATTCTTCTGAGGGACTTGTCAAAGGTTGGGGTTTTCTTATGCTGCAAACTTAGGGAAATGGTTAATTCTCCTGTTACAAAACATGATGAATTTGCATATCTGCGAAACCGGTTGCGCGACAAGTAAGTATCCTTAAAATTAAGTTTGCGGCGACTTAATTCAAATAAATGACTAGCTGCTATTACCAACAGTATATCAGAATTGACGGGAATGTTTCTTTTACAAAATCCTTCGTTCTCAAAACGGTTAGTGGAATAAACTATACGCGTAATTGCGCGCGTGGCTTGTTTACATTCAGTGAATAACCAGAAATCATTCCATTGCAACAAATTTGCTTAAAAATCATTACGTGTACGTCAAGTCAAAAAATATTTTCGTTATAATAGGAAACTTTCCTGGCGATAAATGTTCTTTAACCGTTTTCTTCTGATCGGTGAATTGATCTAACAGCTTCAGCTTCCATGAAGTTCAAGGAACAAGTCCCAAATATAGTCAGGTCATTACGGGTTGATAATTTTTTTTCCTTGACCGTCTCATTTCCCCCATTTTTTAATTTATGAGATCTGTTCACCTTTGAAAAAAAGTTGTTCATAGTGAATGGTGACCTTTGAATCGAGCGACGCCAGAGATATTAGGTTAGTAAGTTGGGGTAAATTTTTCATTGCTCAAGGCGGCCTGAAGATACTGTAGAACGTTGGGATCATATGTTGATAAAACCAGATATTTGCCACATATTTCTAATAAATGTTGATTGGAAGGGAAGATCGTTTTTATGGATATCACAAGATTTTGAGAAATCTTTACCATAGGACTCGAGTTGAATTCCAAAGATCACCTTCCATTCACCATATTGGCGGGCAAGTATGGGCAGACCAAGTGCACTTTTCCGTTTTTTCGCCAAGCAAAAATACTTAAAACTTTTTAGTATCCATTACGTGATTAGGACCCTAAAACAAGACTGCATGCGAAATTTTGGCCAAATCGATGAAATGAATGGCCGACAAAAGTTCGAAAGTTACAGACTACTGCACTTAAGTATCCAAAGCTAATTTCGTCGCTTGAAAGAGCTTCATTCATTCATTGTTTTCGAATAGATTCTCATTTAGCATAGTAATAATCATTTTGAGCGCTAAAGGGTATGTTTCGATCGCTACAGACTACTAAACTATCGCTACTAAACAATCTTTCAAGTTTGAAGCCTTGCGGCCGAATTCTACAGAAACTTTTCAGCAAAATGAAAATGCACACGTCAATATATCCAAGCTCCTTGGGGTGCTTTAGGAATTAGATAGGAATTACGTCCACACCGCGTTACAACAAGGTATATACTTTGTTAGCGTAGTCTAACGTGCAAAACTAAGATAAATGGTTATAAGCATGGAAAATTAAGATAAATACTATCTTTTCTACAACATTCTTCGTGAGAACTACCTGATTTCGTAAACTTTAATTTTAAGTAAAATTTGAAAGAAGTTTCAAGTTTTGTGACATAGAAGTGATCGTTCGATTCCTTTTTGTCAGATTTGAGACTGTTTATAGCCTAAGCAATTTTTTGGTTAGTAATCCGTTGAATCAAACAAAGACGCACTAATGGATATTATAAACAAATTTCATATCTCCTTTTAATCAAAATACCACTTGGATAAGGCACCATTTAATTAGTCAGTGCTTTGCTAAAGTCAAGGTCAGCACACGGACACAAATGATTACATAATCAGATGATTTGGTTTTAAATAAACTGAGTTGAGAACGTGACTTGGCTGACGACGGACCGACGCTCAAAACGCCCTCTTTAGAATGGCTCTTGAGTGAAATTCACATCATCAGCTCATTTGATAAAAGCAAATATTAAATAGCTTAATTAAAGAAAGAGCTCTGATGAAGCAAGAGGTCCAATAAAGGCAACTAATATTACTGCTACGTCCACGAAATTAGCTGCTCTTCAGCAGTGGAAGCGATTTACGCAACTCTGGTACTTGAGGCACTGAAAGTGAAAACAATTGTCTAACAGGGTAACAAAGTATATGCAAAATATATGCCACGTTGTAATGCAGTGGGCGCGTAATTCCTATCTAATTCCTAATGAGCCACCACAGTGATTAGATATGTTGACACGTGCAGTTTCACTTTGCTGAAAATTTTCCGTAGAATTTGGCCGCGAGGCTTCAAAACTTTAGATAAAAGTAAAATGTACTCAAAAAGGATAAATTATGTCTAACTTAAAACCAGTAACTTTACCAAGAACCATAATTTTGCGGAAAACCCCGTAATTTTAAGAAGAACAAAGCATTCAAAGGAAAAACTTACACCTTTACCAAGATATATTGTTTCAAAAGTGCATACGAAACCATTTACTGCAGAACAAAATAAAAGAATATGCAAGTTCTCTTGAAAATTTAGTGAAAAATCTTGAAATGTTACAATATAAATATACTCAAGATGCACTTTTAACACACAAGGGCATTACCCATATGAATGGTTTACGGTCCAGTCGCCCAAAATTTATCTCGCCCGAAATCATGTCGCCCGAAACCAGAGTCATGTTGCCCGAAATTCATAGTCATGTCGCCCGAAATCCTAAGTCATGTCGCCCGAAATTCTATCGAGTGTTTAAACTTGAAGAAAAGTAACATCTTAAGTAAACCGCAAGGAATAAACTCGTAAAATGTTGACTCGTGAAACTCAGGTTGTTCGTTTCGCTGTCGTTTTATATCACGGAGGTAGTAATCCTAAAACAGAACACGGAAATAAAAAAAATAGTAATATTAGCTACAGTATGTTTCTAACTGTTGTTGTTTTATCTGTGGAAGTATTCTGTTTCGAACGAAGGTCCACATCACTACGATTGGAACATTGGAAAACGCCTCCATCTTGAATACAGCTCGTGGTCAAGAATCATCAGGTGGTTGCCAAGCAAGATTGTGACGTTGCGGTAAATTCAGACACGCATTAATACAAATATATTTATTGCTAGCAACTAAACCTAATTACACGCGAGGACGTGTGGGTTATCAAATGCCAAATTAAGGTAAGTTCGTTATAAAAAAGAAAAAAAAACTTATTACATATCTGATTTTTTTTATCGTGATAAAATAAACTATTCCTTTTAAACTAAAATAATAATAATGATGATGACAATAATAATAATAATAATAATAATATTGAAAATAATAATAATATCATTGCTTTCCTAAACGCGAGCGGAGACTAAAGAAAACTAATTTGTACGAACTGGTCCGTGAGATAAGAGAACATGCTTTAAGGAGTCGCCTACTTGAAATTTTACTCGCAGTGTAGTCCTTCCAGTAGCCAAAGATTCTTGCTAGAAGTGCGCGATATTTTTTACACTGGATCCCTTCACGTGGCAAAACTGATTATGCTAAATGTATCACGTTGTAACTAGTCTCTACCATTAACTTTGCAGACAATCGTTTGCATTTTAGTGCCTCAATTACCAGAGTTACGTAAATCGTTACCGCTGCTAAAGAGCAACTAATTTCGTGGACGTAGCAGCAATATTCATTGCCGTTAGTAAACCTCTTGCTTCATCAGAGCTCTTTTGTGTCCGTGTGCTGCCCTCGAGGCTCCCTGTTTCTGTTTTTGTTTTTGACCTTGACTTTAGCATAACATTGGATAATTAAATGGTGCCTTATCCAAGTGGTATTTTGATTAAAATAAGAGATAACATTTGTTTATCACGTCCATTAGTGCGTCTTTGTTTGAATAAACGGATTACTAATCAACAAATTGCATAGGCTATAAACAGTCTCAAATCTAACAAAAAGGAGTCGAATGATCACTTTTGTCTCACAAGATTTGAAACTTCTTATAAATTTTACTTAAAATTAAAGTTTACGAAATCAGGTAGTTCCCTCGAAGAATGTTGTAGAAAAGATTATGTGTTTATCTTTATTTTCCATGCTGATAACCATTTTTCTTGGTTTTGCACGTTAGACTAAGATAACAAAGTATATGCCACTTTGTATGCAGTGCGCCCGTAATTCCTAACTAATTCCTGATGAGCCACCATGGTGCTTAGATATATTGACGTGTGCAGTTTCACTTTGCTGAAAAGTTTCCGTAGAATTTGGCCTCGAGGCTTCAAAATTTTAGATATTGTTTTTCTGTCCGTGGCGATCGAGACATACCCTTGGCGCCCAAAATGATCATTCAATATAATAAGTGAGAATCTAGTCAAAAACAACGAATGAATAGGCTCTTTCAAGGGACGAAAATAGCTTTGGATACTCAGACGATACACGCGAACTAAGCATGAACCAATTGTTAAATATCACACGATAGTTCACGTGGTATCATCTTCATCAATGAGCGTTTGTCTGTTCTATCCTATCTTTTAAAATCAAGCTACCCTAACGTTCCAGACGGTTCATCTTGGTCGGCGACGGAGTGAACTACGACAGACTATCTCAGCTCGCAATCCAGTTTTAAAAATCAAGTGGTTTATCCTCAACATGTCTCTTTCAAAGCAGGTTAGTGAATTCTTGAAACCAAGCAAAGAGTGTCGAACTTACCCCGGTAGCAAAGAATAGGGTAGAATCGTCAGGACGCAAATTGGTATGCCACGCCCAAAACATCATCAAACATCTTTAAACGTTATGACCTTACGCTAAAATCAAGTAAAGAAATGATCCTAGCAAGGAGATGTAACTTTAGCAATTTTGAGAAAAGAATCTTGAAAGTATTAGACTTCGACAGGATTCAAACCTGTGCTACTCAGATACCAGTTGGGCGCGGCATGCTACTAAACAACTAGCAATCCACACGTTTGGAGCAATGGACACTTTTGAGGGTTTTCTTTCCCGTGGATAATTCTGAACTTCATCTTAATGCCATGAATTTATTTGACCTGCGGATGAAAATCAAGGAAAACAATAATCCTCACAGGTGAGCCCTTTCTGATTGTTCCAGCCTGTTCTCAAGTACTGAGGGCACAAAACTTAATCTTCAGTATTGGCCATTATCTATCGACTAAGGGGAGGAGTCTAAGTATTTTGGTTGATTCAGGCAATATTCTTTTGACCTCCTACATGAGCCCCCCCGTCATTGCTGTCAACTTCCAGTCAATTTTGTGAAGCTCCCTCTTAATACTAATGTATCTCATTAATGAAACCACGCCGAAAAAAATTTTGCTAGGCAAAGATAAATGATAGGCTGAACTTGATCGCTTTATTTCGCCAGTTCAAATAGATGTTAAAACAGATCATGCCCCACAAACCACAGACAGAAAAACGCCGTCGTAGTGTGTCGCTATACAAGCTAATTAACCTGCCTTCATTTGTCAGTTATTGCTTTTAATTCATTCTGCATGTCTCAAGCTTCCAACTCACCTCGAAGTTAAATTCAGTACAGTGTTTGATTCCTAAAGCAATGAAATATTGCAGCACAAGGAAATATTTTAAAAGAGGGCCAGAGACTACGACAATTATGTAGAGAGCCAAATGGTGTAAGGCTCGTGATGGACGGGAAATGGGCGAATTTACTTCTTATATCCCAAAAGTCCCTACTACTTTTTTTTGGTTATTTTTGTGTATTTTAACTTTATTTTTGAAATATTTCTATAACCTTGCGCTTGCTCTCGGCATAGTATTTTAAAACAAAGTGCATTCAGTGTTATTAACACAATTACGTTTTAGTAAACTGTTTTTATACAAAATTTTGATGTCACGCGCAACCCAAATTTATTCAGAAATACATTACATAATGCTTATACATGCCTATTTCCCATTCATCGCTGACTGTTTTAATGATACACCGAAATGAGCTGGCCTAGTAAATATTTAAAAAATAATATATAGTAACGAACGCAACTGACCATAATGCACTTGTTAATAAAAATAAATCAAAGAAAACAAAATTCTTGAGTGAGAAGTGAGTTTAATAAAAATCCAGTTCCTTTTCGAAGAACAAAGAAAAATGTGCTTACAAGAGAAGAAATTATGTCAAACTTAAAACTAGTACCTTTACCAAGAAAAAAATTTTGCCGAAAACCCCGTAACTTTGAGAAGAACGAAACATTCAAAGAAAAAACTTTCACCTTTACCGAGATATATTGTTTACTGCAAAACGAAATAAAAGAATATTCAAGTTCTCCTGAAAATTTAGTCAAAAATTTGAACTGTCACAATATAAATACACTCCAGATGCACTTTTAACACACAAGTGCATTTACCCATATGAAAATATGGATAGCTTTGAAAGATTCCCGCCTAAAGGAAAATTTTATAGTACATTAAGTGAAGATAGTATTACCGATGAATAATTTATATTCGCATTTCATGTTTACAAAAAATATGAATGTAGAATTATTGGTGATTATCAAGATATATATTTGAAAACTGACATTTGCTCACTTACAGATGTTTCTAAGAATTTCAGGAGTACGTGCCTAAAATACTATGGTTTAGATCCACCACATTACCTAATACCGTACCTAATTTTGCCTTCGATGCAATGCTTAAAAGACGAATGTTAAACTCGAGTTGATTGGTAATATTGAGAAAAAAAAAACCAGTCAACAAATGATGCGGGGTAACATATGCAATATTACGCATCGATTTGCAAAAGCAAATAATAAATATTTCGCTAATTTTAATGAAAATGAAGATTCTTCTTGTATTATTTATCTTGATGTAAATAATTTTTATGGCTGGGTCGTGATTCAACCATTGCCAGCGGGTAATTTAAGTTTTGTCGATCCATCAAAATTGAAAATTGAAAATTATATTGATAAGGGTGCTATTATTGAATGTGATCGTATTTATCCTGGAAAATTTACATGATTCACTATGAATGTATCAACTTGCGCCAGACAAATATGTTCCATGTGATGATTTATCGCCTTATTGCAAAAAAATTAATTCTAAATTTAACCTTTCTAACAATAATGTTGCAAAATTAGTTCCCAACTTTACATAATAAAAAGAACTATGTATGATACATCGAAAATCTTAATTTATATCTTAGTCTCGGTGTGAAACTTGGAAAAGTACATCGTGTTTTGGAGTTTGATCAATCACCTTTTCTCAAAGATTATATCAACTTTAACACTGAGAAACAGAATTTATATTTTAAGAGACTGTGAATTGTGAACAAAATTCTTGTGTCACGTGCAACGCAACTTCATTCAGAAATACATTTGATAATGCTTATTGACACTCATTTCCCATTCATCATTGAGTGTTTTAATGATACACTGAAATGCGTGAACCAAACAAACTCTTTAAAACAATTGGACGGTTATTTAAACAAAGTTTAACCGTTGTTAACAAAACCGCGTTGTAAACTATCTTGAATTTAGCTTTGTCTTTCATCCGAAAATTTTTTTTGCGAACAGTGCCAAGAGGGCCGAAAGCTAGCAGTTAAAGGATATATATTTAATGAAACAACTCTCTCATAGAGAATCCCAGAGGCCACTGCTTGCGGGACACCTCGTGTAAATAACCAGCCCAAAATCTTTCTATGTTTCCCACGCTTTGTTTGAATGATGTGTGGGTGGCTATTGTTGTCAGTGTTTTGCCACGCGTGACAATAATTGTTTAAGCGCAAACAGAAGATTCTTAAAAATATTTTAAGTTTGAATAAATATCGATGAGGATATTAGATTTATTTGATGAGTTTCATTTTCGTAATGATAAAGTGGCTAAAACAGAAGATAAATGTTGTCAAAATCAAGACACTGAATACAATTTGATAAAAAATAATGTACCCGGAGCATCCGCAAGTTTACAGTAATATTTTGAAAATCACAAAAAAAAGCACAGAAAATGTAATTGGAGAAACAAGAAGTAAATTAGTGCATCGGCATGCCCATTTCCCACTAATCAGGCGCACTGTATTAATTTGATATGGCGTAAGCTGTACCTTAAGAGTAGAAATCAATAATTTCTATTGTAATGCGCATGCGCTGGCAATTAATTGAGTCTTTGAATTATCAATGTCAGTAGAAAATAATCGTTTGTTTCCTTTTTACTTATTCAGGTCATTCTAAAAGACATGAATTTGAAATTTGAAATGAAGGGTAGTGTCAATGGACATTACTTTGAGATCGAAGGTGAAGGAAAAGGAAAGCCTTACGAGTAAGTGTCTCTTAAAAGACAGACCACGATGAATTATTTCATTATCATATATTACGATTTATTTTTAAACATAGAGTTGATAAGATCACATTGCAGTCGTCACATAAGGGCCTGACATCAAAGTATCAATGATTTTGGGAAATTATCAAAAATGAATAAATACTTTTTTTGAAAAGCAAATTGAACAAGATCAAAGATTCATATGAAGATTTTCAGCAAAAACTGTCTTGTTTTTATTCGAGTTTGCAAATTACCTACAGCCTATGACAGCAACTTTTCATCTGCTTCCGTAGTCAGACGAGGTTTAAAGGCTACTGCAGAGCTTAATCATGGCTTAATTCATTTGCGATACAAATTACCAACAGCCTATGACATCGACCGATTCTTCATCTGCTTCCAGAACCAAGCGAAGTGTAAAGCTACCTCAAATTATCGTATAAAAGCTCAGTCATAGCTAAATTTATTTGCGATACTTTTTTAGGTCATACATGAGCTGTTTCTGAAAATAATTTCCAACACTCTTCTCATCTTATTTTAGAGGAGTACAGAAGTCTACGTTTTGGGTAACCAAGGGAGGACCCCTTCCATTTTCCTTTGACATACTGTCGTCAGTGTTCAAATATGGAAACAGATGCTTTACTAAGTATCCCGCCGGCATGCCTGACTATTTCAAAGAAGCATTTCCTGCTGGAATGTCATTTGAAAGGACATTTACATTTGAGGATGGAGGAGTTGCTACAGCCAGTGGAAACATTTGGTATAAAAGTGATGATTAGTATCGGATTGACACAATACTCTTTAAAATTAATCTTCAAGGTCATTTTTCACACGGAGAAGGGTGTGCCCTTTTTGAAAGTGTAACTTAGTTGTGATTCTACCGAGAACGCTTCTTGTCTAGCTACAGGGGAACAAACATACACAAAAAGCATAATTACCAGAGAATATGCAGACTACTAAATTTTGAAATAGGCATCTGTGAGAAAATGGATTAAGTTAGAAAAACGTCGTAACATTATTCTACAGAGTACATTGCACTCTAGGTATGTGACACAGTTACAAGAGTTATTTTACGTATTTTAATTGATATCTCAAATTTTCTTAATTATACAGTCTTGAGGGAAATTGGTTTAAGCACATATCCATGTTTCATGGCGTTAACTTTCCCGCTAACGGACCCATAATGGAAAAGAGGACAATTGGCTGGGACCCTTCCTTTGAGAAAATGACCGTCTCCAACAACATGTTGAGAGGTGATGTAACTATGTTCCTACAACTCAAAGGAGGCGGTTATCACAGTTGCCAGTTTCACACTTCTTACAAGTAAGTGTTCTGTCTCTGTAACAGCTCCAACGGTTGAGTATCATTCCTTTTGAGCATTTAAATCTCATCTTCTGTGTTTTACGGGATAAAAGCAACCGAAGAGAACGCTGGGATGAAAAAGGCCTTGAGAAAACGGCTTAATACTAATTTCCCTTGTCGATAAAATGTTTGGGATCGAATAAGATTCTCCACAAGATACTAAAAGTTATCTATTACAATATCCCTTAAAGCTTAGAACGTTCCCTTCCCTGTATTTCTTAGTAAAAGATGTTCAGGGAAAAATAATCATCATTAATACAAGTAATTGCTGAACTTCACTGTACCAAAAGCAAAGTTCAAAAGCATTGATGTTCATAAAATAATTAAAAACCCAACGCTGATAGGTAACGTAAAACACGTATCTTGTACTTTTATAAGTATTTTTTTCCTTTTGCACAGAACAAAGGAGCCGGTCACGCTGCCTCAGAACCACGTCGTAGAACATCGCATTACGAGGACCAACATTGAAGACAAAAGGGTCCTGCTGGAAGAAACTGCTGTGGCTCATGTAAACCCTTTATAACTGGGATGGAACTATTTTGATTCCCTCATTACCTCTGACGTTATTGTAATACGAATCAGGTCAGTTGAAAAATAAAAAAAAAAATAAAAGCATTGATGATCAACTGTGTAATTGTCCTTCTCCCTAGTTAATGGGCATTAAGCGAGTCAATTGTTCATCCTTGTTATAAAATCGAGACATGAATTTTGAGAAACTGTGACTTTAGCACAAAAATAAACAACTCAGAACCTACAGAGTGTTTACATTAACTGAAATCCCTAATAGCAGAAACTGATTTACATCTCTGTTTTCGATTCGTGGTGGTAAAGTTCAGAATACATCATAACTCCCATACTTTCCGCAGTCAGTTCTCACCACCATGATGCAAGTTTAAAGCGAATGAAAAGAGTTTGATACCCGTGAATACCCAAAATACAAAAGAGAAAATACTGAGGAAGCCAAATAGACGCTAGCTTTTACTTCCCTTTTTAACATTTAGTTCGTTTAAGCAGAAAAAGCAACGGTTAGCAACTGAAATTAGATGTAAACAAGGTCGCTACAAAGAGTTAAGACTGCTCAGAATGTAACTCAAATACCACTTTTCCTTTGCATCATTGCAATACCCTGGATTACGGGTTATATGCGAATTCAAAATGTACACTGCAACTGGTTAGCGAAATATATGTTACATGAGTACATATCGAAGTGATTTCTGGCCGACACCCCGCTATTATGGGGGACAAATTTGTGGTATCAAGAAAAAGCAGTGCCACAAGTACAAGCGTTGCCTTTATCTTTTTCACCGCATGAGAGCACCTAATGGAGTGGACATATAGTATCGGCAGCAATATTCCTTGCTTTTTTTCGGGATCGGGCGAAACAATCCCCCTCCTTCATCAGGGCCGTTCAGCCGACTTCCAAAACACTGACCAAGTAGATTGAATGTTTTAGATGTAAAGAGGGCTTTTCACCAGTCTTCATCCTTGTTGAACTAGCTTTACATTGTCTCCTACTTGCTAAGCTAACTTCAATGCCAAAGTTAAAAGATAACTCCTTAAATGTGATTTGATCTGAACAAGTGCGTTTGAATGGGCTTGACCACAAACCATTTCTATATTAAAGAGACAGTCAACGATTTCATGTCATTTGAAGAAATAGTTGAAAAAACCTGATCGATTTTTCTGTAATCCGATTTAATATGCAATGAATAATGTTTCTGCTTAGATCAACCGAGAAGGTTGACGAGAATACTAAAATTAGTGTGGAAAAAAATAATGGCATTGGGCTTTTTAAAACTGTTTTGACGAAATATTTATCAGTTCTGTTATTCTATTACACAAATTATCAAAGGTACACAGCCTTTGTTAAAAAAAGAAAAAGGGGGAAAGGGAACAATTTCACGCCTCTTGAAAAGATAGATTGAAAAAAACTGATTAATATTCTCTCCTTATCCATCTGTGATCCGATTTGATATAAGTGAAAGACATAGTTTGACGCTACTCTGGTTTGCAGATTTAATGAATGTAACCGAAGAAGTTACGATTCATAGACCCAACGTTTCGACAGTCCTGTCTAGTGCCTTCATCAGGGGTGATCTAAACGCTGCAATAAGAGGTCCTTTTATATGATCAATAATTAGCGGCCTTTTCTCTGACGAGGTGTAAATAATTTTAGAATTATCCCATCCAATCGTATGGTTGGTTAGGCATGTATACTCCGATAAAGCTGAATTTTCCTTTTTGCAAAGAAAAACCGCTTTTTGGTGCTCTTTTAACCGTGTATCAAACTGACGTTTGGTCTGTCCGATGTATTCATTGTCACAGTCATTGCAAGGAATAGAATAAATGGCGTCGGTTCGTTGTTCTTTCGTGACAGGATCCTTTCTCCGTAACTGCCAAAAACCAGTTACAAATAGTAACGCTCTCGATGAAAGGGAACCAGTGACTGGTTTTGCTGTTATTCCTTACATACAGAGTGTTATGGAACCCATCAAGAGAATTTTGAATAGCCACAACGTTAAAGTTGCTCAAAAACCTTTTCAGACTTTGGGGCATATTTTCGCCAAACCTAAGGATCCTGTTACGAAAGAACAACAAGAACAACAACAAAGATCACCCCTGATGAAGGCACTAGACAGGAGTGTCGAAACGTTGGGTCTATGAATCGTAACTTCTTCGGTTACATTCATTAAATATGCAAACCAGAGTAGCGTCAAACTATGTCTGATTGTCCACCTGGTTGCCGTGTGAACTTTAATATATAAGTGAAAGATTTCTTCGGTGACTGCCGTTCACCTTTTGAAAGACTGTTTTGACGCAATTATAATCAGTTGTTCTAGTACACAACTTGTCAAAACTGCGCATCGTAAACCTTTGGCTTTAACTAAGGCGCTAAAGAATTTCAAATGTATTCAGCAATTGTTAAAACGATCGGTCATTTCAAGCTAGAATACTCGTATTACGTTGAGTTAAATCGCCTGCTTTTGTAAAAACTGATTAAAGCATCGCATGCAGAGGGCAAAGTTCACAATCAAAAATAAAAACTGCTTTCCATCGAAAGGGAATATTTGTGATCCTTCACGGGAAAACAGGGAATAAGGTACAGGAACGCGTGCAATGACACGAAACACTAAGCGAGTCACCAATTTCACGGATATGCGCATATTTTATGGCATATTCTGTAAGCCTCCCAGCTAGTGTGTGTTAGGTGTCACGCCTAATGTGCGATATGACTCGAGTGCGAAAAGACGAAGGTCATGCTCTCGCTACAAAAGAAAACGACAATCAATTTGATTTCGGCACGGCTTTCTAAATATATTTATTTAATTCAGTCTTGAACAATTTTATTCGTTAAAAAAAAATTAACATGATTTACATGAACGGTCATATACAGCAAAGGAACAGTAAAAATGTTTAATTTTGTAGCGTAGTAGAGGTCTGGGGCGGCATTCTTTTTTCCATTTTTTACGGTTGATAAAAGGATTGATCATTAAGACAAGGTAAACATCGGCTTCATTGAAATCAAACGACTGGTTTCAAAATTTAAAAAATATATATAAAGTCGACCCTAACTGACAGTGGCGCTCAAGGGCGTCTTGTTGTTTGACAGTTCAAAAGTATTCTCAAGGTCTCGGGGCAGACCCCAAAATCTATTCAGCAGAACCTGATATGTTGAAAGTTAAATCTAATAAATCATAAATGTTTCCCTTGTGCAGAATTCAGTTTTGACTTCTAAGTGCCGAATTGCCGTCTACATGCAAATCAGTTTTCCGAAACAAGCGATCCAAACTCGACAATGAACATTGTTCTGGGGCCAAATGTTATTTGACAGCTCAAAGCGCAAAAGCTAGTCGTTACGAAACCCGTTAAGCAGCCCTCATGGGTCCTCTCTATTAAATCCTTTCTGCTAGTGCTATTGTGGAGAGATGAAACTTGTTGCCCACGAATGGGGAAGATCAGCATGCACTCAAAACATTGTGGAGCCTTCGATGCGATGAGTCATTAAACAGTCCTAGAGGACGTTTACATAAGTAAAAGTGATATTTGCATAAGTAAAGCTTCAAAGTCTACTTAAATTTCTTTTTTCGCTAAAGGATGATTGAAAGATGCACACCCTCGCATGCTGAGCCGCTTTACGCGTCAGTCGACATTTCTCGTTTTCCTTTTCAATTGAATAGTGCAAACATGGACGGCATTTGATGATAGTCGTATTGATTAAGATTGCACACCCTTGAATACTACGAAAAAAGGATGAAATGCGCAGCATTTAACAGTCTCAACAGCGTTGCTTCAATTGAAAATAAAAATGTAGCTTTTAAAACCAATAGACTCATGCTGAGAGGAATTAGGATGGGGCAAAAAACTAGACAAATGTGAATTCTGTAAAATTCCTTTAATATCAATCCTCCATAACACAACAGTCAGTTCAGCCTGGTTGGCGACGGAATGAACTACAGCAGACTATTTCAACGCAAAATCCAGTTTTGAAAATGAAGCAGTCTATCCTCAACATGCTTCTTTCAAAGCAGGTTATTGAATTTTTGAAGCTAATTAAAGAGAGTCGAATGTTCCTCGGAAACAAAGAATAAGGCAAAATCGTCCTAACGCAAATTGGTATGCCACACTCAAAACATGCTCCTTAAACGTTATGACCTTATACTAAAATCAAGTAAAGCTATGATTGCCGCAAGCTAGCTGCAATCTTAGTAATTGCACAAAGAAGCTTGAAAAAATTAGACTTCCACAAGATTCAAATCTGTGCCTCTCAGATACTAGTTAGGCGCTGCTACTAAGCTACTAACCAACTAGGAATCTTTTTAACAGTTTTTCTTTCCCGTTAAGAAATCTGAGCCCCCCCGCCTGTCACCGGCGGTTAATTTGCAGTCAATTTTGCATAGCTCCACCTTTATGTCCTGTTTCCCCCGTCCTGATAATATGTAAAAACTTGCCCCCTTGTAGAAGAACCCCCCTAACTAATGACACCACGCAAACAAAAATTCTACCAGACAAAAATCAATGATAGACTGTATTTGATCGCTTTTGACAGAAAATACCGTTGTAGTGTGTCGCCCTACTAGCTAATTAACCTGTCTTCATGTGTCAGTTATGGCTCATTTAATTCATTGTGCATGTCCTCAAGCTTCAAACTCACCTTTCAGTTTATTCAGTGCAGTTTTTATTTCTAATTCAATGAAATATTGCAGCTCATGGAAATATTTTGAAAGAAGGTCAAAGAGTAGGACAATTATATATAGAGCCAAATGGTGTGATAGTTAATTTCATAGGGCGTAAGCTATATCTTAATTTACAGATAGTGAGCAAGTTATTCACTGGAAAATTAATATGCCAGCTTAGGTTTATGAATTATTAGTGTCGGTAGAAAATAGTCCTTTCTTTGAACTTTGTTTTTTTGGCACAGTGTAGATCAGCAATTACTTGTATTAATAATAACTACTTTTCCATCGCCCTCAATATCTTTTACTGACAAATGCAGGGAAGGAAACATTTTTAGCTGTAAAGTAT